CTGAGAGGGCTTGCACATAAGGCTTTTTACCTATTCCAAACAAGTCACCTAGAGGTCCAGCAGGGAGAACTTTGGTTTAGTAGAATTTACAGGAGGCACTGATGGTGACAAGTCAGTCAAAAAAGAATCCGCCCCTGAAGACAGTACAGCAAACAATTTTATAATCAAACAAGTTAATTATTCAACTTGCAACATGGTGGTTATAATCACAGTGAATAAGGGCATGGCCCACATTGTTCTCAGCTCTCCTCAATGTTACAGGGAATATGCATATCCTGCAGAGACTAGCCTTGGCCAGAAGCTGCTCCCTGAGGGAGGGGTAGAAAGAAGCCAGATCTAGGGGAAAAGAGTCAATGTCTAGACAATTACCTTACACCTGTTCTTTTCAAACCGAAATTCTTCAACTTGTACTGCGGCTCCAGTACCATTTTGCTTTGCCATGTATTTCATTCCTTTAGTTGTCCCCTCACCCCTGGCATTATCTACTGGATCATTTTCATCAGCATATCATGCTTTAGTGACTCTCTTCCTAAAACACCTTTTCCTTATCCCACCCCCTCCAAGTCCCACTTCTCTTAACAAAAAGGTCTTCTCTAAAGAGTTATAGCCAGTCTCCCACCTCCTATTCACTCTCCAACCCACTTTTATCTGGGTTTGCATCCCTACAGCAGCATTGAAATTGTTCTTGTCAAGGTCACCAAGTCCTCTGAGAGGACTACCAAACCTAATGGACCCTTGATCTTTCAGTGGCATTGGATGTAAATGCCACTTTGTTGTTGTGGTTCCTGTAACTCCACACGCTCCCAGCTCTCTCCTTCCTCCTAGCTCTTCCTTCTAAGCCGGGCTTCTATGTGTTAGAGTCAGGGCTTCATCCTGTCTCTTCCTAGTGACCTGCCCTTTCAGCAGATGATTTCACTCAGTCCTATGGCTTTAAACACTTAATATGCCCTCCAAATTTATTTCTTTAGCACAGAACTTCATCCCTGAGCTCCAGGTTTAATCAACTGCTATTTGGTCTCTCTGCTTGAATGTCGAATAAACATCTGAATCATCTTCCTTCCTCCCTCCC